TACGTTGAAAAGTACACGACTCCACGGAGAACGCGCGCGCCTCTATCGTCCACTGCATGATCGGTACTCAACTTACATGACATAAAACTTTAGATACCGCTCTTTTCAATGAGCGCCACCCCACCCTTCTCGGAATAAATGTCGCTAGATGGCGCGCGTTTCAAATAAGGAAGTTTCCCGTCCGCACCCTGTATAATACTAACAACACAACCTAATACAGAGGCTGTTCTCACATTTTTTAGACGATTTTGGTAAGCGATAATAAAAAATCGTTTGCTGAAAAAGAAGTAATTGCAATTGTACTAGGTTTTTAAAAATCAAAATTATCGTCTGTCGCTTGAAAGTTTTGTTTTTATTCAAAATGGCGAATTTAACAAAGCAGTGGTTCGAAGGCTACATTTACGCTCTTTTCGAAGAGAAATACGCATACTCTGTTATCCAAAAACGATGTGAGAGTCATGGTTTTGTGATATCTCAAGCGTCGATAGGTAATATCATCAACAAGAAAGGAAAAAAAAAAACGTCCAATTGGAGCCTCAAGTGGGACAAAAATTCCAAACAAGTATCCAAGGAAAAAACGGACATCTTCGACAATTGCAAAGGTACGTTGTTTAATGTTAAAAGAAAATCCCCCTAGTCAAAGGACAGTTGCAAAATCATTAAAATGCTCGGTGTCCACTGTAAACAAAATGATAAACGTTGATTTAAATCTTAAGAAAGCAAAAAAACGCAATGTGCATCGTCTTCTGCCAAAGCATATCGCTCAACGGAGGCCACGCTGCAGAATTCTATACGAGAAACACTTATCCAAACAAAAATGGAAAAAAAAAATTGTCAGAATATGTGAAGCATGGGTGTATTTAAATGATTGTAACAAAAACAAACAACAAAAAAAAAAAAAAAAAAAAAAAAAAAAAAAAAAAAAAAAGAGCCATTTATTATCATAAAAGGGGAGGAAAAAAATTTAAGTACGTGCTTCAAAGAATCGAAAGAAAGTTTTTCTAAGGGATTCATGATTGTTGATGGTTTTTCTTATAATGGCAAGTTAAAAATAAAGAGAGTGAAAAAAAATGTCAAGATTAATTCCAAATACTATCAGGAACATATTTTATTGCCAATTTTTCTGAATGAAATACCATCGCTTTACCCACAGTGCCATCCATCTGTGAGACTCCATCAGGACAAAGCTAGCAGTCACACATCGAAATCCACTGTAAATTTCCTAAAAGAAATGGAACAAAAAAACTGGTATCAAGCCATACCCTTCACTGATATCTCTACTAAATCTCCCTATGGTGTCAAATATGGATGTTTGTGCTTTCGTACTTTTAAAAACTGCATTATCCAAACGTTGTCCCCAAACCCTAACAGGACTCTGGAAAGCTGTCCGGGAGGATCGGGAAAGAATACCTCTTCTGCCACTTCAAAAGGCATTATTATCCTGGAAATTGGAAGAATTTTATGTAATTTAGTTTTGTGAATGCAATATACATCGTCTAAAAAATGTGTTAACAGCCTTTTTATTACACAAAAATTTCAAATGTGTTTCGACAGCAAGTTTTGAGAAAAGGTACATCGAAAATGTTCTATTTCACATTTTCGGTAGAGGGGGATTCGTCTCCCCTTAAAATCCCTTGTGCACTTATTTTTAGAATTTCAAATAAACAATTTAAAAAAAAAATTGATAAAATTTAAAATTTAGTCCCCATTAACGAAATATTCGAATATCCGAGATCAGTTATGGTCCCAGTAACTTAGGACAATCCTTGTTCTGTAATTATACAAAACTGTCAAACACTTTCTTTTAAATTACAAAAACCTATGTATGTTTCCGTGTGTCCTTTACCAAAAATTGGGGAGACGCTCTTCTGAAGAAGTTATCAGCATTGCGAAATCGGCATCTATCCATTTCAAAGAACTCCGCGTGAGGCTAATATTATCTGATAGAACTTATTTGCTTTGTTCCTAACCGTAGGCGCTAGGTCAAGCGAGGAACTGCTGCGGCGTTTCCTGATCTGCGTCCCAAGGTCAAGAGTCGACGAATTCTCAAGGCGGTCGAGTTACGAAATCGCTTTTTTAACCTCGCTGTTGCTTCCGCACGAGCCTTTTTTCTTTGTTAAATGTTCTTTGTTAAAGGCGGATAATTTATGGTATATAATAACTGAAGAAGGCCCAGCGGAAATGTTCACGCGTAAAGGTAGAGCGGGCGGATCTTTGTAAATTTCTTGTTATATAACAAGGCTACATATTTAACCCACTACACACTGTAGAGCAGGAAATTTTTTATCGACCCTTTTTTTATTACCTCAATCATTGCTAGTAGATATGTTACCGTGAAAGACCGAAATTGGAGAATGTCGACTTTCACCGGAGAATGTCAACATTCACCAAATACGTCGGTGAAAGATCGAATATTTCTTTACATTCTTGTACATTCGGACCCTCACCGGTGTATGTCGACACTCACAGATCTGGTGTAGGTCTGAAAAGAGAGGAGTATATGTACACGCTGTCATTGCAAAAGGAAGTGTTCCACAAATAAATGCAGTTGTAAAAGCAAGGGCCTCTTGTGCAATTGAAAGTGTCATAAGAGTTTAAGTTGTTGCAATAAATAAGATTTGAATCACGTAATTTGGTAAGTTTTAACTTCTATTATTTTCCTTTCTCATTTTGAATGTACTGTGTGTTTTAAGTTCATATATTCTTAAGTTCTTATTCCGAGTCTCAAGTGCGATTTTTCGCGAATGAATGACGGAGAAGGAAATATAATATTCTTATATGTTCCATGTCAACATTCACCGGTGTAAGTCAGAAATAAGAGTATTTGGAAAATATTTCGGAGATACACCAAGAGACTATGTGAATGTTGACATTCACCGGTGAAAGTCGACATTCTCCAGATTTCGGTGTTTCACCGTAACAGATATAAAGTTCCAATTACAAAAATGTTTTAAACGTAACAAATATTCATGTTTTAGCATTTTTTAATTTAAGAAAATCAGTTTACAGACAGTTAGTTCCCAAGCAGCACCGGAACGTTCCAAAAACGTTCAGAGACCCACATCGTTCCGTTCTATAACGGTGTTAGGTGTAATTAATTTGGTTTGGTTTATTTAATTATGGCAAAGCACAGTAGGGCTATCTGCCTAAGGGGAGGGATGCCTTCGTGGAGGACTTTCTAAGGCAAACTGACTCGTATACACGTTACACATGGGAAAAACCACGAAAACGCCCATGCAGCCAGCCCGTTCACGGGATTCGAACCTCGGACCGAACTACCAGTGTTCAGCGATTTAACCGCTCGGCCGCTGGTGGGCCGTTAGGTGTATTTAGAACGTTCTACATAAGGTGCTAAAGTGGTGCATGTAGCAACCGTGTTCTTAGTACGTACATTTCGATGTACAACACTAACGTATAAGGTATTTCTCCTGCCTTCTTATCGTACCTTCGTAGTGCAGTGGTCTGCACGTTCGGCGCATGTTCGAGAGGTCCGTGGTTCGATTCCCGGTTAGGGCATTGCTGATTTTTCCAGTCTCCTGCTTCCAAAAAGTCCTAATGTCTCTACAAACGTTTTTTTGAAACATTCCCAAATACGTTCGACATAACGTGCTAAAGTTGCGCATGTTAGAACCGTGTTCTTAAGACGTACATTTCTACGTACAATACTGGTACTTTAGGAAACGTTCTCAACATGTGCTATACAGTACGTTCTAAATGACGTGCTAAAGCTGTGCGTAATATAACCGCATTTTTAGGATATACATTCCAGTGCACAATCCTGGTACATTTCGAAATTTTCTCAGCATGTGCTATAAGGTACATTCTACACGACGTGCTAGAGCAGAGCGTATTATAACCGTGTTTTTAAAACGTTCATTTTAAAGTACAATATTGGTACTTTTCGAAACGTTACCATAAACCAAATGACGTGCTAAAGAGGTGTGTTATAACTGTATTCTTATAACGTACATTTCAACATACAATACTGGTATTTTTCGAAACATTCTCAACAGGTGCTATAAATTACATTTTACATGAATTTTTTTCTGACCTGAATTCAGGTCAGAAATATTTCGGGACCATCATACAGTGTATATGTAATGAAATTGCAGACGTGTAAATGTCGTAGAATATTCGGGTGTGGCTGAATGGTTATAAGGAAGATGCAGTAATGGCCGGTTGATACATTTCTTCATTCATGTCCTTGCATGATCGAAGTAAACCCATTATTAGTCCAAAAGGCGCTCCAGTTATTCCTATATTTGGCCTTACCAGTGGACAAAGGCTTCCCAGCGGCCGATCCCTAAAGTCGCTGAACACTGGTAGTTCCGTTCGTATAGTGGTTAGCGTCGCTGACTGCCGTGTCGAAAGGCCCGGGTTCGAATCCCGAAAAAGTTTGTAATGGATGTTTGTAAGTGTGTAGTGTCCGCTCGGTATGGGGGCCCTCTAAATATACAGCCAGCCGAAAGTGCTCTCGAGAAGTTGGTGGTAGGGGAAGAGGTTGGGGAGACCCTCGAACCCGTCTTCCGGGGGGGAGTGCTGTCAATCAAAATTGGGGGGACGGAAGAGCTAAATCGCACTGTCACTTGTAAGGTGCTGTTGCCAACGGTAGGCGTAAATTTGCCACGAGGAATTTTGGGACCTTGGGCTGATTAGAGGTTAGACAAGTGAGCATCAGTCAGACCACAAACAACAGAGATTACTTAATTGAAAATTTTTTTGACTTAATTTATTGACTTATTTATTTTTATTTACTTAATTTATTTACTTAATTTACTTTTATTTTACTAAATTTACTTTTAATTTACTTTAATTTATTTACTTAATTTATTTTTAATTTACTTTTTTTTACTTTTTACTTTTTATTTACTTTTATTTATTAATAAATATATTTTCCAGTTACAATAGTTGTTTACATTTTCCAGGATAGTGTAATCTTTTTTAATATGAAAAGTTATAGTATTTTGTTAAAAAATTATATTTTTTCATTTTATTTGCAGACGTGTAAAGCTTTCCTTCCAGACATGATGGCTGATAATCATGGTCACATCGTCTCCATTGCCAGTATGGCTGGTCTATCTGGCGTAGTCAGGCTTACGGATTACTGTGCGAGTAAATTTGCCGCCGTCGGATTCGAAGAATCTCTTCGATTGGAACTGTACTGCGAAGGCTACACAGGAATCCATTCCACGGTGGTTTGTCCTTATTACATCAATACCGGAATGTTCGAAGGAGCTAAACCAGGGTAAAGATCTGAACTTTGTCATTTATAACTTTGCTTTCCAAATGAATTATCCTTAAGATCTTATAAAATCTGTAGACTAGTTCTGTAATTCTATAGAATGTCTATAATTCTATAGCTATAGAATTATAGACATTCTATAGAATTACAGAACTAGAATGTCTATAGATCTCTAGATATAATTCTATAGACCATAGAATTATAGACATTCTATAGACCATAGAATTATAGACATTCTATAGACCATAGAATTATAGACACTATAGAATTTAAAAAGACTGTTGAAGAATTATCTTCTAGCTTTGTGAACAAAACAAAAGTCAGAAGAAGGGTGTATAAGACTTTTTTATTCGAACACAAGCCTACCAGCGGCCGAGCAGTAAAATCGCTGAACACTAGTAGTTCGGTCCGTGGTTCGAATCCCGCGAACGGGCTGGCTGCATGGGCGTTTTCGTGGTTTTCCCCATGTGTAAAGTGTATACGAGCCAGTTTCCCTTAGAAAGTCCTTCACGAAGGCATCCCTCTCCTTAAGCAGGTAGCCTTAGCGTGCTTTGCCGTATTCTCAATACACTACACTACACTATTCGAACACAAACTTAAAATTACTCAACTTGGCTTTACACAAGCTAAACACTTTTGGCTTAACAGATAAACGTAACGGTAAACAAATTCAAAATATAGTAGATTAGCCCAACGGCTCACAAGATAATTGAATTTTCTGCAAGGCTCTGGTTTGTAGAAAACCGGTGAGACAAAGCCGAATGGCTAGAAGCACTCAACGCCACTAAATCAAGTCGCTAATAATCACGGCACAATCTATCCTGCAATAGGCTGACACGCTCTAAAACTAACTTCCGAAACTCTTGCTTAAATAGCACTTCCTTCTACCTTAACCTGAATAAACTGCTTGCTGTGTCATTTATATTCTTTCATGAAAAGCGTGGGTGAAAAGACGGTAATAGGAAAATAGGAAAATTTAAAATGAACAATACAAACAATGAATGAACTTCAAATGAACAATACTTGTAGAGTCATTAGGTTATTTAGAAGCAGGAAAGATGAAAAATGAGCATTGCTTTCGCCGGGACTCGAACCACGGACCTCTCGAATAGGCGTCGAGTATGCTGACTACTACACCACGAAGGTATGCTAAGAAGGCGGGAGAAATACCTTATACACTCCCCCTTTTAATGGGGGCGACTGGAGATTAGAGGACCCAATCGCCAAATCCTGGTGGTGCAAAATCATCATCCACCAACCTTTTTAGTTCGGGCGCCGCTTGTAGAGACGATTTAAAATTTTAAAAGCAGGGGAGATGAGAAATGAGCAATGCCCTCGCTGGGACTCGACCCACGGACATCTCGGATTCGCGTTGAGCATGCTGACCACTACACCACAAAGGCATGCTAAGAAGGTGGGAGAAATACATAATAAACTTAGTCACAGATAAATAGGTAAAATCCAGCATAAAGTTGTTAAATTATTTTTTAATTTTAAATAACTTTTTAATATTTTAAATTTAAAAAAAAATTAAATTATTTTTTAATTTTGTTTTTCTAACTGAAAAAGAGCTAAACAAGAACAAAAATCATAATTTTACTATTTTTAATTTTGTTTTCCAAAGCAGAAGAAGAAATAAAATCTGAAGAATTAAACCAGAATAAAGATTTTAATTTTGTTTTCCGAACCAGTTAATTTAAGAAGCTAAATTGGAATAGTTATCGTAACTGTATAAATTTCAATTTTGTTTTTTAAAACAATAAATCTCAGAATTTTTTCCCCTAGGACAAGTTGCTTAATAAATTTTGTAATCTCTAAAAAAATATTTTTGAAGGAAAATGTATAATTATTTTTTCTTCAGATATACCTGTAAGTATCATTAATGATGTGATAAGATTTTTAACGCTAGAATTTAAATTAAAAGTGCTACTTTAAATTAAATTTTTATAGTGGTTTTAACTTTCATTATGAAGTATAAATATTTTTACAAATTGTACTCAGTTTCAGATTTCTATTTAAATGGTGCATATTTCTTTAAATTTAATTTTCTTAAAATTTTAAATCGTAGAAAATTTTGTTCGAATGTTTCCGGTGATATTAATAGAAACTTTAGTCTTTGGAATCATAGCAAGAATTTTTTTTTTTTTTGTATCTTCTATTTCATGATCCCAAGCGTGGCTTCAAATTAGATTAAAAAACAAATCTTTGATGCAGTCAAATATATGTATAAAAACAAGTGTCTATTTTACAGATTAATTTAAAATATATCGCATTTACACATTCGATTTTTATTAAGAAGAATCTATGTGGAAAACGATTTTATAAAGGATTCCGTAAAAAAGGTTTTCATAATGAATTCTGTAAAGGATATCATCACACCTGGGCCAACGGTTTTCTGGTCCATAGAATTATTGCCTATTTCTGATTTTTTCCAATATTTTGAAAATTAAGTTACTAGCAACAAACATTTATCATGTAAATATATGAGAAGGGAGCAAAAGAAATTAAATAATTTAAACAAGGATGACGACTTTGCAGTTGCTTGTTACACTTTAGAACGGGCATTTAAAAGAAGAAAATGACCTCCCCACCTTGCCTCGTAACCATGGTAACGACAAACTGTGGAAAATGGTCGGATACTCTTTAAGCTTGTTTAGAATCGTGAGAAGCGCATGAAAGGATATGATGTGCAGAAGAGTCTTAGATGAGGTGCAGAAAATAAGTGCTCTGTGATGACGACGATAGGTGTCATAATAAACGATAAATTCTTAAAGTTCCATGTGGTTAGGGTTCAAGAAATATTATTTTTAATTCAAAATATAGCGTTAACGTTCTATTTTAATAAATATTTTTATTTCTCCACGGAACGTTTCACATTTATTAATTAAATATCACTTAAGCCACATAAAATTCAATTGAATGGAAAAATCACAAAATATTTCAAAACAGCATATCTTTAGAACTTCCGATATACAGTCTCGCGCGCTGGAGATAAAAATGCTTTAATCCGTGCAATGTAGCGATTGCTCGGTTTCAAATCGTAGCGTTTGTCAAAAATTCGTTAAAGGTTTACAAAATACGATATAAAATTCAGACTTCTGGAGGCTTAGATTCGGTTGGAGAACTAACTATGTTATTCAAAATTGGATGGCCCTGAGTCGCTTTTCACAGTGTGTGAAACATATACATACATACATTCATTCACACAACGGTCGAATAGCTCTCCGTGCTCTGTAACCTACTTATTAACGATTTATTACATAAGGAGTTACCTACTAATGCAATATTTATATATTATGCTGATGATTTAATAGTTAAGATGGCCGAGTCCTCCCTCGAGAAGATTGAAAGAACTTTTGTGAAAATTTCGAATATTATAGAAGAATGGCATTTGAATAGAAAATTGAAATTAAATATTACCAAAACGAAGGCTATGTTCTTCTCGCGGGGTGGTAAACATACTAGATATCCCAGATTGCGATATAAAAAGGTGAGAAGTAAGATAGAAAGGATTAAAGTTCCTGGAGTTATTTTGATGTTAGTTATCGTTTAAAGATAATTTACTATGGTCCATAAAAAAAACGGATACTATTTCTAAGAGATCCTGTATGGTGAGATTAGCCATTAATCGTAGGACTCTGAAACAAATTTGAATGTATATGCTGTTGGATTACGAAATTATAATGTATTATTAATGGATTACGAATTATAATGTATGCTGTTGGAGTGGGGTTCGGGCGGCGGAGTTGTGAGATAAGGAACAAATTGAATTTATCAGAGAGGAGGCTGCTGGCAATCACAAGACCTTTTGCACTGCTCTAGGAAATTCTAATATACTTGCGCCATTCGCCCATTCGTTGTCCTTTGACTTTTGTTATAAAACGTTTTATTGAGATCAAATAACATTGACTTTATACATATACAGATGATATTTTTAATATATTTTTAATTGTATCTTTTCCTCAAGGGAAAGGAAGTCAATACTTTTAATAATGCATTCCGGTATTGATGATATTGATTCATACGGAGGGCTTGGGAAAATTGGCTTAGCATTGTAGTGTTCTATCGTTAAGAAATTAAATGAATACATATAATACAAACATTGTTTGATGTAGTTCTTCAAGCCTCTTGACCGAGCAAGCAAAATTTAATATTTAAATTATTAAAATTGGAATACAATTGAGATATCCAATTGTATTACATTTTTTAATTAAACAGGCGAGTCATCAATTAATTAATTGGGTAAAGCCATATGGTTGTTTGGGCAATGAGAGGGCGGAGTCTTGGCAAAGGAGGCAACAACGAGTATGATATTGAAACTGTTCGATGTACAGCCTCCAAGAGAAGATCATTAACATTTGAAGTGTGAAATTGTGATATGGCGGATCAATGGGAAAATCTGATAAAATAATATGTTCTGAAGACTTTTGTTTCTAAAAAAATATGAATTAACAATGACATTGATTGAATCAGTTAATTACAGGTCATGGGAGATTTCCCTTTTTCTGAAAAGATTCCATGTTCAAGATAATGATTTATTAAGTATGTACAAAAGTAGGAGACAATGTCCACTTTATTACAGAATGTAAGTTAATCAGATGCATTGATGGAGCGAACATAGATTTTATGAAAAATGGTTTACTTAAGACAAGAGGAATAGCGCGTAAGATTATGAAGATGATTAACAACAATAAAGAAGCCATTGGCATTGTGTGACTCGTGTGTTTGTATGGTTATGTGGTGATTTTTGTACTGGCGTAGCCCGTATAGGGTCATAGAGCAAACTCTGTTTTGCAAGGTGGACCGGGCTACGCCCAACAAAACAAAACATACATTCATGCAGATTCTTCCTTACTTAATTTCTTTAAATTAATGCGGGGCGGTAATATTTGGTGGCAGCAATTTGAAAAGGGATTCAGACATTTAAATGATACGCCGCCAGATGTGCCCGTTCGGGCTAACGCCCTTTTAGGCTAACAAAGGAAATTATAAATTCTTAATTTTGCACTGTAGCGTTCATGCCATAGGTTTGGCGTACTATTAAAATTTAACGATATCATATTTGCATAGTTAGTCATAATAAGCGATTTTTGCACCATGGAATTTATTTCTTATGCCTGTTACGTAATTCGATTATCATTATTGTTCTTTATGGATCGATCCTACACACTTGGCAATGAATTAGAAGCCCGAAATGAATATTTTATTGGACCACCTTTTGCACGGATAACTGCTCTGATTCGTTTTTGGGCATTCGGGTCTACATGCTTCTAGAGAGCATTTATGTCCGGAGAATACCATACATTGGCTATGCAGCTTTTTAGATCTCGTAAATTAGATGGAAGAGGAGATTGCTGTCGGGTAAGTCTTTCCACCCTATCCCATACATTTTCTATGGGGTTAAGATCCTTGGCCAGAGAAGGTGTTAGAAGTGAGACTGATGTTCAGCAAACCAATTTCAAACACATCTGGCACGATGTGTAGTTGCATTATCATCCATGAAGTATCTATCGCTATCAGGTTAAAAATGCAACACTGCAGGGTGCACTTGATCTGCCAATGTATCTAGGTATCTCATGGCTGTGTGTTTACTCTCGAGGAGTACCAGAGTACCACTTCCATGCCAGCAGAACATGCCCCATATCATGATACTCCCACCAGATCCTTGCACAGTGCGAGTAAGGCAAGATAGAGTCATGGCTTCATGGGCTTCTTGCCAAATTCGACGTCTTCAATCAGTAGTTCGAAATGAGGTGTAGCATGATTCATTCGACCACATTACCCGTTTCCAACCCTCGGATGTCCAGTGTCTTCTTTCCCGACACCACTGCAAACGAATAATTCTTGCGTGTTGGGCAGAAAGAAGTGGTTTTTCTCATAAACACCCGATTCCCATTCCTATCCTCTGCAATTCTCTTCTGCGCATGGTTCGAGTTGAAATCTGTTGGGGAGATCCTTGGTCAACCCCTTAGCCTACGATTTAGATTCGAAGATGTTAGGCCGAAATTGTATAGAAGCTCGCGCAGCGTTCGGGACATTTGCATGACTTGTGTAACACGCTAATCCGGGCAATCGTAAACATGACGAATTATGTAATTTTCGAAGAAAGTATAGGCGAATAATTATGGATGATACATACGATGACAATCACTACCAGAGTCCTGGCTTTGGAAAAATTAAGAATAGTCCAAAAAGCTGTGCTATGATGACTCCTGCCATAGAGAGAAGCATTATGTCAATTAGGGGAAGTAGAGGAGAAATTTGATATTTAATCTAATATTTGATGACCTATTTTGGAACAATATTGTACCGAAACGATCAGTATGCAGATCAAGTACGAGAAAATCCACAGAACAGAGTGAAAAAGTTCCTTACATGACAGAATGCTTTGACATATATCATATCGTTACAGATTACTATTTGTATTTTGGGAGTTTTTTGTATAAATAAACATTTTGTAATACTTGCGTCTACCACAATTACTGCATCAGACTGTAATTGCGTATCAAATATTCCACGTAATATTCACTTCTGGTCCGATCACCGTACGCGGGCTATGCCCATGAAAGTTAGGTTTGGCCGGACCATCGTACGCGGGCTATGTCCGTCATTGTAGATTAAGGGGTTAACGATCTGTGTCAGTTGAAGCACAGAATAGTCCTTGTTCTGCCGTACAATTCGTCGAAGACGGCGCCGATCACTGTCTTGGAAAACTGCGCTTGAACCGCAGTTACGTCTTCTAGAGAAGGATTGTGGATTCTGATTCCAACTTTTGAAAACCTTTGATATGGCTGCTTTCGAAAATCCAGTGAGATTTGCAGTGTTCGAAATCGAGGCCATTGCTAAACAGGCACCGACAACAAGCCCTTTTTCAAATGGTGAAAGATTTGTCGGTTTTCCCATTTTACTTCATTCATCGTGAAAAGCACTCCTAGGCCCATATCACACGACGTTTGTTTCACTCGAACAACTGTTTCGGGCAATTTTTTTTTCATTAGTTTACTATTGAAGGAAAGAGGTGCGACATTTTCCTTCCTTTCCAGAAAAATTGCAAGTTGTTCGTTTTCAACAAATCAGCTATCAGGTTCGAAAGAACAACTGTTTCGAACAATTTTTCTGCTTTGTCACAACAGCCATCGCTTTGGGGTTAACACAAGACAAACTGGTTCCCCATTACAAACAAGCCGACAGCATTCGAAGCTGATAGCTGATTGGTTGAAAACGAACTTGCAATTTTTTTCAAAAGGAAGGAAAAAGTCGCACGTGGCAAATTCTGATATCTGTATATGTGGGGAACAGGGAACTCCTGATCATTACACTTTCTCATGCTCCTTAACTGAGGATATTCACATAAAATCCCCAAGAACTGACCTCCTGGCATTCCAAATGTTTTTAATTAAAGATAACATCAATATCCAAAGTTCAAAAATTATGCAACGAACTCTCTTTCCTCGCCTAGATCTTGTCAAGTAAAGTCCACATAAATTTAAAACTTATGAACTTTTACATGCTGTGATTATGGACAAAATGGATCCGCTCGTGACTTTATAAACTGAAATAAACCAATATATCTGAAATAACCATGGACACTACCTCTTAGCATTATCACATTCATTTTAACATTGTCTGCCAGAGTACTAATTATAATTATCTCATTATGTTTATTTGTTTTAATTATCTTTATCTCTTTTTTGTTGCACCAAATCAGATTTTAATTTATTTGTGAATCTCTCTAATTGATTCCGACTATTTTGTAATCTACTTATGCCCAACACCATTATTTTTAACAAATACTGGATGCGGGGCGTACTGTGGAATTGCACGTGTACCATAATAGGCAACTTTGACCTTTGAAAAACGCTTCATCTATGGAAATTCTTATAAAATTTGCAATTACCCCCCCTTTTTTTTTCAAAGAGTTAGTATGGGAAGGCATTACCAGCTGACCTATGGTACATCGCTGGTGTCCCTCATACGTGAAAACGTTCGTGTGAAACAAACGCCGTGTGATATGGGCCTACCTTACTTATACCAGCATTTGAACCACGTGTAACCCACGTCATAAAAAAAAAGTTTGCATATTTCATCCCTAGCAGGCATTCAAATCAAAATCTCAAAGGTTTCTAATTCATTGGCCAGAGTGAGTAGTAAGAAAATTTTGTACCCACTTTGATAAAATATTCTGCGTTTTACACTGCGATGATTTTTACTTCCTTGTACGAAGTAAAAAAAAAAAAGGAGTAGAAGTAAAAAAGGAAGTTTCATCGCATTCAGCCGGCATATTTCAAAAACGAAAATATCCATTTTTGACCGCTATCGAATGCAATTTAACGATTGTTTTTTGCGTTATATCTGTATGTAAGGACAGAATAAAACACTCGTTTCCTCCAAAAAAATATTATAAAATTGCTTTAAAATTATTCTGAAGAGATTTTTCGTGGCGTCTGTACGAACGTACGTACGTATCTCGCATAACTCAAAAAAACGAGTAGCCTCAGAACGTTGAAATTTTTTGTATATAGGACTGCTATAATATGTAGATGTGCACTCGTATTTTGGTTGCAATAGGCCGCGCCAAACGTATAAAATATATTTATTATATATCACTGTGTTACGGATCAGTGATCTCAGTTTCTTACTCTTATATGTTTGTAAATTGTGCATTTTTTGCTTTAAAAATGATTTGAATGATAGTGCTCTTATCTTCCGTTTTTTACGCCTTAGTAATCTGTATGCAATATTTTTAGAATTTTCAACAATTTTAAAGTTGTTTAAGTGCCGCTAAGCCTTTTCTTTTGATGGCGGCCGGATTGTTGCATTTGAAACAACAGACTAGTGGATTTGTTGCAATTAGAGAAATTAGCTTCGCAACGACAAGATAACGTCTTCGTTTATATTGCCAATTAATCATGCTTAATCCTTTCTGGAAATTTTTTCGAGGAAATAGTGTTTAAGATTTACTTCGTTTTTATAGGTATTTTGAGTTTTTATGTATTTTGCCTTCTTGCGAAGTGAGAAGTGAATTATTGAATGAGAAATACTCAATCGTCTTTGAAAAAACTGTTTGTTTTTCGTTTTGTTTGCTTAATTTTTTATACATCATTCTAGCTTTATTATAGTATTTGAATAGAAATGTGGCAAACGATTAGATAATTCTATTCTTTAATGATAAATTTTGTGCATTATGAGTTATAATATGAACGAAATATAATACTGTTAATTAAATCTAGCGCCAGAGTGTCGCTACGGTAAGTGAATTTTAGAGAATGCATTTATTCTATTGTGGTTTATGCGCTGTCGGCGAAGTAGATTTAATTCAATCCAATAAGTTTAAATGCAATGCAAGAAAAAATGCATATAATTTAATATTTCGTACAAGGAAGTCATGTGGTGTACACATCAGATTTTTATGTGCTGTGATAATAAAAGTTAAGAGTAGACATTTTTGTGGAGAAATAAAAACAGCTTTCATTTTTTTTTTCAGCGTTTTTACAATGATGTCACCCGAGTATGTGGCTGACGAAATAGTTTCCGCTGTTTTAGTAAACCAAGAAGTTCTTTTGCTACCGAAAGCTTTCAACATATTAATAACAATCAAAACGTAAGTGAATCTTATTTATTTATTTTATGTGCTACATTTTACTTTGTGTGTGTTGAATGGTCTTTTCTATAAAAAAATTCCATTCCCTTTTTCCTTTGTATTAACCAATTTTCTGAAATATATTCCAGAAATTATTATCACTGCGTTCTAATTATTTATAACAAGCTTGGTTTTGGTATCTTTTTAACAATATTAATACTGGTGTTGGGAATATACTAAACCTCTATTTTTCTAGGCTTTCACCTTGCAAAGTGCATAAGACTTTGATCTCTTTATTCGATCTTGAAGACAGCATGGATAATTTCATCGGAAGAGCCAAAAAAGATTAGATTGAAAGTGGCAAACAGTTTCTTTACCAAAACTGGCCCTTTTATGTCTCATCTTTACTAAATGCGCACCTTATGTGAATATTTTACTATACATGTTCACATGGAAATATTTCCATCGATGGAAAGTGATTTATGTCAGCAATAATTTCTGTTTTGTTAAAAAACTGTATTACGCATTTTTGTGTCATGTGTAAATTTAGTTGACTTGTGTATACCTGCCAAAAACAATGAGTATGAATATACTTTTATTGGTTACATTTCACTTTTACTTTAAAAATGATAAGTATTTTGACAAAAATTTTTCTTCTGGTAATAATAATTGTTTTCTTTTAAGGAAGTGTGGCTAATAGAACAAATATAATAGATTTCCATTATGTTTCTTGTATTTAAGTAATATGAACATAAATATAAATCTTTTGTATTTTAATGAGAGACAAATTTTTGTTATGCACATCTCAGATGCAGTGCTTAAAGATGTGAAACTATAAATGCAAATGCAACTGTATTAGATATCATAAACTTTTAATATCTTCTAGAGTTTTTAATATGAATTTCGTAAAATCTTTTCACTTTTAAATGTAAGTAGTATTTAGCCCCGAATATGGTTTGACTTTGACTCGCACATTAATAAGCAAATTAAAGTTATCTTTGTGCATTTAGTTAGAAGAATGAAAAATGCTTATCACAATGGTTGCAAAAAGAAAAGATTTGGAGAAAGGATTTGATCAAAGCCATTCATACCCTGATACAGAAGTTTATTTTAAAAATATGAACAAGAAATCTCATTTGATAAGTTTACCACTTTTTAATCAAAAACTAAATAATTTGATCATGATCGCAATCAGATGTTTTCCATTTGTATTTGCATTGAAATTTTAGTCAAGCATGCAAATTACGAAATTGAATTGGGAATAACTAAAAGTAAAATTTTGATGAATGTATTTTTATGTAATTATTTAATCAAATTCACAAACCGTGAGATCTCAATAGCTGCATAACTAGCTTGAGGAAATCAACATTCCATTACCATTTCTGTTTATTTGAAAATCTTAATCAATTTTGATTATAAAAGAGAGTAAAAATGTATTTAAGGGTGTCCCTTGGCGAAAATTGGCGATTTTTGGCGATTGGCCACCAAGGCACAGTTTCAAGATGGCCGCTACACAAAACCAAACTACCAAGTCAAAGAATTGCACAAACTCTGTGTCCATGTACTCATGAACCTATTTTCACTTGAAAAAAAATCAGAGAATTGCACAAACTAAGCATTGCGCACTGACTTGATTTGGTCCATGTACACATCGATCTATTTTCACTTAAAAATCGAAGGAGCACCTAATTCTACACTAGAGCCAAACAAAAAAAATATATAATCTCAATAAACTGCATTTTAAATTAAACAATGAAATACCATAAAAAAGGACATCTTATCGTATCAGTAAATGCATCTTATCGTATTTACGCACTAACCAAAAGAAATATCCACTTACCTCATTTAGAAATTAATGTGTCTCCAGTCTGTGGCACACAAAATTCCTTAACAGCATTCAAAAACTTTCCTCATACCCTATTCCCTTTCTAATTGAACGCTTTGTATGGTGAGCATTTGAACCTTTCTTACGACAAACCCATTCAAAGCCATCTAAACAAAATATGTGTAAATCTCTAATAAATCAGACTGGATCGAAGTTAAAGTAATAAACAGAGGAGCGTTCTTCCACACAACATTTATTCAGGAACACCAAAGACGAACTGATACATATACATAATTGACATCACAGTTTCTTTTCACAAACAAACACTACCGCCATCTATTGGCGATCTATGGATACACAATCCTAAACTTAACACCATCTGAACGATCTTTACATTCGACCATATGCATTTCCTTCGTACAAACAAGACACTTATATTGAATTACATCCAACAAAGTTTCCTTTCTTTTGTCCTTAACCACTTCAAAAAGAAAGAAAAAAAAAAAAAAATGTACTACTTTGGTAGACGGTTGCACGGATTTTTGGCGATTTACGTTGGCGCGGTTTTTACAACCGTCAGCCATCTTGAAAAACGCTTTTTTTACGTATTTTACGCATAGTAAAGTATTCGAAACTTTAAAAAAATAAATATTTTTAAAAATAATTGATTAATTTTTTGTTGAAAACGTCATTTTTTAAGATGGCGGGCAAATTTAAACATTTACTACGAGTATAAAATACTAAAATAAGGTTAAATTATTACTTTCATATAGCAAAGAAATAGAATAAAAACATTGCGCCAACGTTTAACTGGATTAGAATATTACTTAAATTGAATATCGAATTAAAAACATCATACCAACGTTTAAAAGAATTAAAATATTACTTAAATTCAAACACTTTAAAATAATTTTTGTAAGATATAATTATTTAACATTAAAAAATTTTGTGGCAAACAAATATCTCAGCAATTTTTGAAAACAGTGATTAATTTTTTTTAAATAAAAATAGAAGTATGCACTTATAAAGAAAAAGAAAAATATGTACTTACATTTTTTTTTTTTTTTTTTTTTTTTTTTTTTTTTTTTTTGAGTATTTAACCTGTCGTGTATTGATAAGTACCAAAAGAATCGGAGTCATAATATTTTATTTAGAGTTTTATATTAGAAATTATATTAGAAGCCTATTGGTACTTTTCCGTTTCGCCGGCGCAAATCTCACCAAGCGACTTTATTGGCGACAGCATAGATATACACTAAAAAATGTTAACAATGTTAGTTCTTAGAGTTGGTTTTTTTTTTTTTTTTTTTTTTTTTTTTTTTTTTTTTTTTTTTTTTTTTTTTTTATTTTGAAGGCATGAACGTTTGTAAAATAACTTTGTAAAAAGACATTAATTTAAGAATTTACTATGCTTTTATGGTTCAACATCCTTATGCGACGGTTAGTATTACGTGACCCCCAAATTATCTCATCTCACTTAAACTACGCTACAAAAACTAATTCTCTCAGTAATTTTCTACATTAATTTCAAGCTAAATCTTAATTTGGAATACAAGTTTAAATGAAAGAATTATTTCAATTCGTACGAATAGCTTACTCAGAAATTATGTAAAACCGCAGTGCTAGTGCTTCGCTAGTGCGTTCTCATTAGAATTGATGAATTTAAGCCTTGACTTTGCCTTTTCTGTATTTTCGCCTTCGGGTGAGTGCTGTGATGCCAGCATTGAAAGAAACAATTAATCTAATAAGAAACGGCTGTGATTTGTTTTGAAAATGAGGCGTAAAAGGTTACCAGCGAGGATATTCCGTTTAGCATCAATTGTTGGCGACTTTATTTAAAACACGGAAATTATGCATAATAAAACGCATTATTTTTTTTATAAAATGACAAAGTATCGGTTACCATAAATAACTTGTCCAACAATGGGTTTACCATAAGTCGTATCGCTCGCCAAAAAAAAAAAAAATCTCCAAAATCTGTGCAAACGTCTACCAAAGTAGCATCAAAAAACAACCCTTCCGCTCCATCGTTCTATACCACCAAACACTCTCTTTACCACCGGCAGCCATTTTACGACACACAATACGAGACGTACTTTCTAACTAATATCCAACAAATATTTTCCCATCAGTCAACTTCACCGCAATCACGCAACCAATCACGTCATAATAGGGTTTCCATAACATGCACCTACTCAGGTTACCATAAATGAAACAACTACTTGGCGATAAGCCAAGGGACGCCCTAAGTATAGGCTAACCTAAAACAGACAAATAACAGAATTGATGAATTAGTGCGCGGGATAGCGCACAAGTAAATTATATGAGTTTCATTTATTTACGAGTGCGCAAGTAATTCGACACTTTAAAATAGTAACTGTAGTAGAATTATGTTCATCAAATATGCCAATATCGTTAATGGATGAAAATAACTACAGTCAAAAGTCTTTAATCCGGACTCGTCGGACTTCGTCGATTCTGGATTATCGGTTTTTCCGAATTATAGATCATCAATTTAAATCTGGTAAGATGGCATGCAGAAATTATAAAATTAAAAATATGAAACCGTAATTTATGAGATAAAGAGCAATTATGATGTAAAGAGTATCAAAATTTACAAAAAAGTTTAATATTTATTTTCTTTCAACGCGCGCATGCGCAAGCATACATTACGCATCGTCGAAATTAGAAAATTGCAACCAGAAAACTATTTGATGTGTATTCGTGATATTTATAATGACGAGGAATTTGATTTAAATCATATCAAAGACGGAGTACATCGAGATGAAAATACTACATTTAGTAAGGAATTATAAGCCGAATAAAATAAAAACATCTGCCCTGAAGATGAGGATAGTGCTGACAGATCAACTTCCAGTTCATTGCGCGCCGCGACGTCCCCCCCCCCGCAGAGCAGCGTGAAATTGATAAACAGATTTCGGAATGGTTAGACAAACAAAGGCCTTTATCCATTTTTTGCAGCAATTCCACTTTTTGTTTGATGGACATCGAAACATGCTTTCGCTTTGTAGATCCTTTTGCAGCTCCAGAATCGGAAACTCTTTTTGACATAATCGAAAGTTCAAGCTTATTTTTATAAAATTGCTCTAACATCTGCAAAATATAATAAGCCGAATCTAATTAGAAGATTAAGGAACAACGTAATCTGCAACTGAAATAGATAATTAGATAATTTTAGCTTAGCTTATTTTAGCTGCTGCTTAAAAATGCTGTTTCTGTACGCTTATATAGAAATCTTTAGAATGCAAATACGGTAGATGTGAGAAATTTAAATGATCTGTTCATCAGAATTCGCATGGATTAATATGCAGGGCTAACTGCAGTATTTTCAGCATGAATAGAAACTTGTTGAAGATTTTACCTGAGTGATGATCAGTAGGAATATATTTAAATAACTGTTTCTGTTAACAAGGAGAAATTTTTTATTTCATCCTAAGATGCATTATGCTTAAATGCAACATTCATTTTACCTGTCTGTGCACGTTTTGAAAATTAGTTTTCAGTTCTATTTAGTTTTTTTTTTTTTTTTTTTTTTTTCCTATTTCTGTTTGTTTTTAAAAAAATGAACTTGTCGGAATCAAATATTTTATACTTTATAAAATAATAGACCTACGCGACCAGCCTTTATCTGGCTTTTAAATGTACCTGAAAAATGCCGTCAGACATATCGGCTGTCAGTTTCTGTTGCCAGATTCCATTTTAGGTATGTTATTGATGGCTAATTAGGCTAATGAGATAGTTATTTAAGCATGTTGGTAGATGTTTGCTAATGCTTAAGCTTCTCTTCTGCATGTTTCTGTATTTGGTGGTGGACAAACCTAACAACTGCTTGCTTTTCAGACTTCTTCCCGTAAAAGCAATAAATGTGGGTCTTGCAACTTTGGAAGGTCGAACACTAATCAACCTTTCTGGAAGAACCAAACAAGATGTAAAGACAAAATGACGATCTGTCTTCTCGATAGTCTAGACAAATATATTTGAGTATTTAAATTAAATGAGATTATGTTAACATATAAAGTGTTGAGCTAAAAGCTAGGCTGACGTATCCAAAAGCTAGTCAGTTTGATGTTAATTAGAATTTAGTACATTTTGCTTATAAAATTATGTATTGTACAAAAAATTGCTTATATGCTTTAATGAACTTGTTACAGTATTTCTTTGTCACTTAACTTAACTGCATTGATGGAATGTTATTCGTTGTTTAAATTATTATGATTTTTGTCGTAACTTTAGCACTTAAACTCTGCAGATAACGTTAATATTGATTATATAGTGTGACGTATAACATAAGAAATTGTTTATGAATCTTTGTCATGAAAAGATATTGTTTTTGCTGTACTAAGTTTTCCAAGTGTATAATTTTTGTTTTAACTTTATGGTAGTTTTCTTTCATAATAACAGAATAATTAATTAGTTTTTATAAATCACTTTGGCACTGTTACAGTTAACCCTCTCCAATTTGGCCAGCCAGACGGATTTCGGTGGAAAGAGGGTGTATTAGAAAAATGCCTATCAGTGTTGGCGATTATTGATATGCAATAGTTTATAGTATAAATTGCTGTTAATGTATTAAAAAGTTTAGGTTTATATGATTATGGCAAAGCTTCGAAGGCTCTCTACCTAAGAGGAGGGATGCTTTCGTGGAGGACGTTCTAAGGCGATACTGGCTCGTATACACATTACACATGGGGAAAACCACGAAAACGCACATGCAGACGGCCCATTCGCGGCACTCGAACTTGGAAGTGAACTATCAGTGTTCAGTGATTTTACCGCTCGGCTGCTGGGGGGGGGCTTAGTGTATTATTAGAAAAATACTGATGTAGAAACACGGTGCATCAATTTATTAAGAAAATAACAGATTAATAAACTGCTAATAATATAGTAAAAGAAACAGAAACAAAAATTACGAAGATAATAAGTAAATTTATTTTGTACTTAATTTTCTGAAAATTGCTACGTGTTTAGTACATTAAAATACGAAAAACTGATCATACATGTAAAATAAAAAAAACGTTTTTAGTGATTGCAAGAAACAATTTAATGATCTCAAAGAGAAGAGAAGAGAAACATGTCAAATGGAAACATAAAATTAGGCAAAGCAGCAAGTTTGTGTTCTGAGTCTTGGTTCAAATATACACCAGACAAAAGTTTGTGTTCTGAGTCTTGGTTCAAATATACACACAAAGTTTGTGTCTGATCAAATATACAAAATATCTTGGTTCACCAGACAAAGTTTGTGTTCTGAGTCTTGGTCAAATATACACAGACAAAAGTTTGTCTTAGTTCAAATTACCAGACAAGTTTGTGTTCTGAGTCTTGGTTCAAATATACACCAGACAAAAGTTTGTGTTCTGAGTCTTGGTTCAAATATACACCAGACAAAAGTTTGTGTTCTGAGTCTTGGTTCAAATATACACCAGACAAAAGTTTGTGTTCTGAGTCTTGGTTCAAATATACACCAGACAAAAGTTTGTGTTCTGAGTCTTGGTTCAAATATACACCAGACAAAAGTTTGTGTTCTGAGTCTTGGTTCAAATATACACCAGACAAAAGTTTGCTGCTATGCATAATTTTACATCTATCTAAATTGCTCAGTCTCTTCTAAAAGAATTTAAATTTCATGAAATTATAAATCAGCCATTTTATCAGTATGAAAACATCTATCTTTTCAAGCCTATTCTAAACTTCCTTTCCGATAAATTACCACTATTCATTGCCAGTGACTTTAAAATCATGCCTTTAAATTTAATTCTTTTCCAATTGGTTTTGCACATATCCTAGTTAATTACTTAAAATTCACGATGCTTTAATAAAATCTACTACGCATGCTTGCACTGTAAAGATTTTCGACTTCCAAATAACCGCGATCGATTGTAGTAACCTAAAATCCAGAAAAAAGTTGTCTTATCGTCGCTTCAACATTGATTTAGTGTATTTTACTTGCAAAAGTATGAAACGAAACAATTAGTATGAAAAATTTAGGAATACACAATGATTCATTTGAATAGTGACCTACCGAATTATCATACATTACCATCAATCATACTGAGGTAAAGATTTAGTACTTCCCAAATGCATGAAAAACGTTTTTTCCATTAAAAATGGGTTTCTTTTTGGAGATAAATTTCTGAATTAGTATCGCACTTGGGAATATTTTACGCTGCTTTCAGAATCAGACATTTTGCTGGTCACTTAATGTATATCATAGTCTCGATCTGATGACAGGTCGTCTTAGAGAAGAATAGTTTTACTTCCCAAATACATGAAAAACGTTTTTTCCATTAAAAATGGGTTTCTTTTTGGAGATAAATTTCTGAATTGGTATAGCACTTGGGAATATTTTACGCTGCTTTCAGAATTAGACATTTTGCTGGTCGCTTAATGTATATCATAGTCTTGATCTGATGACAGGTCGTCTTAGAGAAGAATATATTTATTTTTCAATACCAAGCTTTCTCAGAAATACTAGACCAGGGTCGGCCAAACTGCGGCTCGCGAGCCTCATATGACTCTCGCAGGCAATTTGTGCGGCTCGTGCATATAAAATATATGTATGAAATATGGTAAACTCAAACTATTCAGTGTCCAAAATGAAGTAATTAATTAGTTTAGACTCTTTTTACAAATTTATCAGGGATTTCTTTCTATTTAAAACCTCCTATTGTACTTCTATAATGATGTAAATATGAACTAGTGGCTTTTAGAAAATCTAGATGCGGCTCTCGAATATTCCTGAATTCGAACTTGCGCGTCTTACTGATATGAAATTTGGCCAACCCTGTAAAACACTCTTTTAGAAATGGTTACTGTGAGAGGGTTCACTGTATTTTTCTTTTGAATTCTTTTTTCTTTTTAACTGTTAATATTCAAAAACTCTTTAGTCTTAATTTTCAAAAAACTTATTTTGACAATTTTTCTTTAGTCTTAATTTTCAAAAACTTGTTTTGATAATTTCTGTTGAGTCAGTTTTCTTACTATTGCAATGATTTAAGATTCAAACATTTTAGTTAACTTTACAACTATAATACTTATTGTTTGAACTGTAACTCTATTTTTCCGTTATATGAGCTTCAGTATTTAGACATTTGCAAAATATATCTTTTCTCAAAATATTTTTCTTCAGTTCAAAAACCTGTATATTTTATGTTTAGTCGTAAAATGTTTTAGTAATTTGAAATTTTGTACTATACATACATGTTTTTTACTTTGTATTTTTCCTATATATATATGTACTTGTATTATTTCTATATATGTATTAATTTATGTTAGTTGTAACGACGAGAGTGTTCTCGTAAAAGGAGTGAGCCAGGAGTATTCGTTTGTAAGCTTTAACATTAGTATAATACATGGTTTGCTCTTCTGGACTAAGGTCAACCAATCTCGTGACGTCGACGTCCTATTCCACAGCAAAGGTGGGAAAAACCGCTTCTGTGAGTAATGTGACGTCACTGCGCAGACAGCTAAGATTCTAGTGTCGGAATGAGAGAGGTTTGACCATGAAAGAGCATAACCTTTTCTATTTACTGACCTTGGTAAACACAGGGAAACAACTTCAAATACATATTGTTGTCTTACACAGAAACAAGTGGTAACGTTGAGTACCATGACTTCGCTGATACTCCTGTAATCATGGGATTTGTTGTCCACGCAAAATAGTTTGGTAGATGAGCACACTTGTAGCTTCCACTTGAGCCGGTGCTTGGAATTCATAAAGCTAAAATTCGACACGTTGCAACATACTGGACACAGTCTGCACCGCATTTTTGTACTCCAGTCTGTTTCAACTGCCGCTTTATCACCACAACAACACCACAACAACACCACACCCAGAAGTAGCTACTCTTCTTCTCACCCAAGAGATATTTAAATGCACGTTCACTACTCCTTTCCAGCACGTAGGAAATTTCCGAAAAATGTATTATTAGTTAATCGGCAATTAAAAGCTGGATTACTGAACTGTAAAAACAAATAATTGTGTTCACTTAATGATAACTGTTCCTAAAGATGAGAGTTATGTTTCTGTTAAGGAAAAACAAATTGTGCCATAACTATCTTGTCACTGTTTATGCCATTTGCTAGTCAACTAAAATGAGCCTTAAAGATACTGTAAAAGGAGAGGATACTTTCTCTGACTTACCAAAAAAGTTACATGAACGTGCATTAAAAAAATCGTGTATTGCATAGTTTTGTGTGACGTCTATTCATTGACATCACTTTTCACAGCTGTAAATGTGAAATTGTATAAAAAAATTACGTTAATTACTGTATACCCAAACCTTTGTAGAAGAAACACTGGCAAGCAAATGCCTTTGATATAACCTTCATAAAACTTACATCTTTGTTTTTCTTTGAAAAAAATGTTAAATCTTTACATTATGGTAACTTGGCGATTTTTGGCGAAATTTTGGCGACGAACCCTGCTACAGCAACCTGCTAGTTTTGTTTTAGACGCCATTTTGTTTTCACGAAGTAAAGGCAATTTTTTTTTTTTTTTTTAACTCAACATTTTTTACAACAATCTGCTAGCCGAATTACGCTTATACTATAACTTTTATGGAACAAAAATGCTTAATCATGACGAAGATTACTTGCGAAATTGGGAGAAAGTGCAGAATCGCCCACTGCTTCGCGCGTTTTTAAGAATTGCACATACACGTTATCCATGTACACGTCGACCTATTTTCACTTAAAAAAATTACCAGAATTGCACAAAAATGGCATTGCGCACAGTCTTGACTTTATCTATGTGCACATCGATCTATTTTCACTTAAAAAGTCAAAGAAAATTGACAAAAATTAAATTCTTCTTACTCTTGTAAAAAGCGCCAAACAAATAAGTGGGCGATTCTGCACTTTAGCAGCGAAATTGTTTCTAAGTGCTAATAAGCTAAAATCACGATCGGAATTTTCCGGAAAATGTCACATGACATGTCTCATGATCTCTCATTTCTCTGAGACAAAATAATCTGTGATTTGAACTCTGTACTTCTCAGATTATTCCTAAACTCCTATCACCTTACCAAAATGTCGCCAAACTACCTGTTACCATATTTTAAAGATTAGCCATTCTTTAAAATCTAAATCATTTATCAGCTAAGTGATACAAAAGAAAAGCATACGTGAATTGTGTTTTTCAGTGTCACTTTAAACAACTTATATTCTTCCAAAGTGTGATTTCTGGAAGGGAATAAATATTCCGTTCGCAGAAAACGCTGCGTATTAAAAATTAATCTCAAAACTGAGTATAAATCAGAAATTCCGAATTTAGTTATATGTTTATTTAATATTACGTAAAATAATGCTGATAGATTCTACAAAAATGAATGTTATGTTAACTATATAATATATTCATATATATTAACTATATAATATATATAGTTTCTATATATATATGAATTATGTTTAACTACATAATTTAGTACTAATAAAAGATTGTTGTCATCGTTAATTCTGAAAAGTATTTACAGCGTAGTTTTTAAATCGTACATGCATTTTTTTATGTCACATTAATATGCAATTTAAGCCATTGCCATCATGTATTTTAAATTTTATCATTAGTTCTAATGGAAATTCTAAATTTGGAATTTTAATTACTTTTAATGAGAATTCTTTTCCTCTCCAAATTCTTTTTTAATCAAGTAGTGTGCTTTCACGCAATCAACGTTCATTATTTCTTTAGTAGAAAATGTTTTAATGTGTTTTCGCAACTTATCGTTTAATGTACGAGTAATAATTTTTTTTTTTTACATTTTTTTAAAAGTAAAAATGTTTGTTGCCTCCTCGTAGAACTTGTGCCATGTTAGTCCTGCAGGTATTGCGTTCTAACTAAAACAAGTTTGAGATGTGCAAAATACTGCTGTTAATTAGTAATTAAATTAATTTTGAATTTCCTTTTAGTATGAAGAGAGTACTTTTTTTGAGTATTTTTATGCTAATTGCTAAAGCTTAGAAGAGTTTTTCCCAAACGGCTCCTCAAAAGTAAGAACAAATTGATGGATGAACTTTCATCCATTTGGTAATAAAAAAGTATATCGCGTAACAATGTTACAAAGGAGAAAATTTTCAAACTCATCTAAGAAGTTCTAAAAGTGCTTCACAAAAATAATTAATCTAAAATCAGCTAATGAAAAACCTTTGGGATAAACTACTTCGGAATGCAGCCAAAG